GTGTTAGTGCAGGGCTAATCTTCCTCACACACACACACACACACACAAAATGTTGTAAAATAACTCAGACAGAGGTGTGTGTGTGTGTGTGTGTGTGCACTGACAAGCTAATCCAAAAATCTAAATGGAAAGAAGAAAAAGAATAGTCAAGATGATGTTAAAGAAAAAGAATAAAGCTGGAGAATTTATGCTTCTGGATCCAAAACCTATTAGTGACTCTGCCAACCAAGAGAATGTGGCTTTTGTGCAAATTCAGACAAATGATCAAATTACAGCACAGCACGAGCAGAGACAGACTCACAGACACAGCGCACACACAAGTACGGACAGGAGGGTCTTTTCAGTAAGCAGAGCTGAGTCAACTAGACATCCATGTGGGTGAAGTAAATCCTGACCTTCACTTCACGCCACACAAAGGTCAGGTCCCGTGAGATTTCAGATCAAACATGAGAGGCAAGGGAATAGAGATGTTAGAAGGAAACGGAAGAGCATCTTCCTGACCCAGATCTCCGAAGAGGAGCATTTCCCATTTCACATTCTTACGTGTGCCCTAGGCTGTCTCCTTCATGATTTATCGACTAGTTCATGTCGGTGTGCACGCGTGAGTTTTTGCTTTATGCATGGGTTATAACCTCTCCTTCCATTTTGTGCTTCGGTTGTTCCAGGTTTGGGAGGTGGCAGCCATTTCAGGCTGTGTCCTTTCAACATTGTCCTCATCATTCTTAGAACAGTTTCTTCCCTGTCAGCAAAACAGGAGGTTCCAGACTCACCTCATCCTTTCTCTGCCCAGCTTTGGAATCAGCCATTTCTCCAAGAAGCTGGGTCCTTTCAGGGAAGGATATTAATGCTCAGAAACTGACTCTTGGCACTACTTTTGTGTCTCTGAGGAACATTTTTAAGATTTCCTCATCCTCGTTCAGTGCATTTTCTGTTACAGTTAGTTCTAAATCATTTTCTCTTCTTTCTTGGTCTTGTCAATGGAGTTATCGCTGTTTCCTCTGCCTGGTTGTTGCTTACGTACGTGAGGGCGTGTTTTTACTATATCCCGCTGGTTTACTGCTCTCTACTGTTGTCCCAGTTCGTTCTGGCAGGGATGCCCGAGGGTCCCGGGACACGCTCACACGACCCACAGACACAGCTGCTTCTTTCTGTGACCCGCCTCACTGCTTCTCTTCTTCCAGCATCGGCCGCACCTCCAGGTCCACGTTGGCAGCAGTGGAGCCCTGGCCTCATGGTCTTAGTGGGATGTCCCCACTGTGCCCATTAAGTGAGATGCTGGCCTTAGGACAAAAGTGTTTAGACGACATAGGTATTAATACTATAGATAGAAATATGGACACAGGCGCAGTATACGTCTCAACCAGGAAACCCATACTTGTGCATAGATGCTTGTGGAATCATGTTAAGAGAGGATCTATCGATTCCCACGTTAGTGAATGTTTTCTAGCAATGAGTGTTGACATTTGTCAAAGTTTTTTCAGCACTTATGAAAATAATAAAATTATTCTTCTCCTTAAATATCTTAATTTGGTGTGTTATATTAATGGATTTTCTAATATTTAAACTAGGATAAATTGCACTTGGCTGAGTTGTATGCTTTTCATTGTGTGGTTTTATATCTTTTATCCACTAGTATTTTGCCTGGAGGGTTTGCATCAACCTTCATAAGTGAATGTTCTGTGCTTTTCTGTTTTCTTCTGTCCTTATCAGATTTACATGTCAAATTTTCAGATGGAAGGCCTTTTAAAAAATTGTTAATATTTTTAGTTTTATTGCTTTTTGATCAGTGTTTTACTTACAATATATTTACTTTGGGGAACTTCCTATTATTTTCTCTGCGATAGACTAAATGACCAGGTTTGTGACTGTTCCATGTGACCTTGGGAAGAGACTGTATTGTTTTTAATTGGATGTAACTTTTGATTAATACCTGTAAGATCTACCCACTGATTATGTCGTTGAGGTTTTCTTTATCCCTACTCATGTTTGTCTCCTTTTTGTGTCGAATTCTCCTGTTGTTCGTGGGTCTCTACACCTGACCCCTTGCATCTTCTGCAGATTGTGCTTCATGAAGGTGTTGGCCTGGTATTGGAGGCACCAGTATTGATAACTACCCTAGATTGTGGCTTTTGGCGTTAACGCCTGCCCCGTTTGTCACTTGCTGGGCTTTGGGGTGGATTCCACTGTGACACGGGACCACCACTCACTCGCTGATTCCTTCACCCCCTTCCTGGGCGGCGGGGGGGGGGGGTCCCTGTGTGGAATCAGGTGTCTCAGATTACAGTGTGCACTTGTGTCTTGGTTTGGGGACCAAATTTGAAATGAAACCTTTTGTCTTTTAAAAGGTGAGTTAAGCCATTCACATTTATTGATGAAACTCATATGTTTGGGTTCAGCCCTATCACATTATTTTATGTGATAGTTATTAATGCGAATTGTTATATTTGCTGTGTTGAGTTTTTTCATGATGCATAGTCTTTGATCTTTTTAAAAATTATTTCGTCATTAATTAGAGAGTTTTGCTTTTTGTTCCTGTGGCTATCTCTACGGTTATTTCTTTTTAAATGACTTTATCTTACTTTTTTCTTATTTAACCCATTGCTATCTGGCTTGTTGCTGGCTCTCATCTATTGCCTATATGATCACCTGGAGGCTTCTCGACCTTCTCCTCTCTCCCCTCCTCCCTCCCGCATCATTTCTGTCTTGTCAGAAAACAGCACTAACAACATAGAGCATGAATCACATGAAATACCATTCGCCCACCGTTAGCTTCACTATCATTTCAGCCTCAGGCCTACAGTTAAACATAATAAAACTCCATCATCATTTTTGCTGAAGTTTCCCACTTTCTCTTGATGGGCAGATGTCCATGTCCTAGGAGACTCTTCAAAAGCACAGTTGATGCTGATGACAGTTGAGCCCCCAGTTGGTGAATGCTGGTACCTGTTCTGTAACTTTCATAATTGAAGGACACTTGGCTGGATAGAAAACCCCTGGTTCCGTATGTTTCCTTGAATATTTTGAAAACGGCATCCTCCTATTACCTTGATTTGTATGTTATTTTTGAGAAATCTGATGCCCTTGTATGTTATTTCACCTTTTTGCCTCAAAGCTCTGATGAGTTTTCCTTATGTTTAAAATCCAACCCTCTTACCAAGGCATATCATGGGGGTGACTCATGCGGGATGATTTTCTCTGGCACCAGTGCATCCTTTCACACACAGCTTCAGGTCTTCCTCTACTTTCAGGAGGATTTATTGGATTATAGTTGTATTTTATTGTTTCATTGTTTTATTTATCCTCTTAAGGGATGCCAATTACATATACATTGGATTTTCTTTGCATTTCTTACATTTCAAAGCTCTGATCCATTTTATTTTTTTCTTTACCAGATTTTCATTCTGTGAGTTGTTTTGTGGATCTTTTCCAATGACCTTTATTACACTTTTGTCTGAATCTATTGTCTCACGGGCACATTGTAATTATTCTTCATTCTCATATGATTTTGTAGGGTTTTTATATTTATTTCTTAAATTCCATCAACTCTTGTTTCCTTTCCTCCACATGGCTTTCCATTTTTGTTCTTAATTTTTGAATTTTCTGATCCACAATGTGTTGGTACGTCTTCTCCCCCTTGGTTTGAGGATACTTAGTTTAGTTTGGAGGGTCTGTGACAGTTTTATTCACTTCATTGTAGGTTTTTCGTGGGGTTCACCCCATTATCGTCTTCATTTTGTTTTGTTCTGTTCATAGCAGACTTGTATTTATAAGATGGCCCTTTGGCTTTCTGAGGACAGGGCTAGTGCTCACCACTGTTTACAGTCTCCAAGGTCCGACTGCCCCCTCCGGTTATCGGGTGTCTTCTGGATGATCCCTGCGTTGGGGGGGGGACGGACGTCCGGTGTTATATTTCTTGATTTCCTTTTCCTTCCAGGACCCTAGGCCCTGCTCTTCCTGCTTTTCGATCGCACCACACGGTTTCCACGGGGCGTCTCTTCCTTCCTCCTAACCCTCCTCCCAGCAGCGTTTCCTCTCAAGGCGCCTCCGCGAGTGCTGCGTGCCCTAGGTCCTCTCTCTGCAGCCCGCGCTCTCACTGTGTCCCCATGTCCAGCATTTTCACACTGAGGGTGGGCGTCCCCTCCCTCTGGCCGTGGCCTTGGACGAGTCTCAGGTTCACTAGCTTCCCTCGTCTCTTTCACGCACTTTCCCCAAACCGCCCGTGTTCCTGGCCACCGCCCGGGGCAGGGCTGGGCGCGCTGGCGGCGCCTCCGCCTGCTCGCAGGTGACTCGGGCGTGAGGCCCGTCGGCTCCCAGGGACGGGCGTCTGCGGTCCGCGCGGTCACCGCTGCCTCTGTCTCGCGGGAGGGCGTGTCCACGTTCCCCCAGCTGCGCGGCTGCCACACGTCCGTCAGACGGGGGCGGCGTCGACACTCAGGCCGAGCGGGAGGAGGTATTTTCACAATAATGAGCTTTCCAGCTCCCTGATTTTTCTCACGAATGTTTGCATAGCATTCAGTAGCAGGTCTTAGGTACCTTTCATTGGTGTTATCCCTAGAGATTTTATATCCTTGATGCTAATGTGAATTGTATCATTTTACATTGCATTTTCATTTTTCTGTTGCTGGTACATAGAAAAACAATTTACTTTTGTATAATTGGCCTTGCATCCGGTGGTCCTACTAGACTTGTATTTTTAATTTTAATAGTCTGTAGATTCTTTTGGATTTTCCGCAAGCATAGTCATTTGATCCATAATTAATTACAATTTTGTTTCTTCCTTTCCACTGGTGATATTTCAGTTCTTAAACTTAGATGGGTACACTGATGTTTATTACATTTTTAAGTCATTTTGAATGTCTGATTTATCTCTAATACAGTAAAAAATGTAATTGACTAAGAAAACTTTCAGTGATAATGTATTTTTCCACAAGTTAAATTGTTATAAGAAGGTCAAAAATCACTCCATTCATTTGGAACTGTCTCCAAATTTGGTCTACAAGTTGTTCTGAGGGATCTTACAGGCGATGGGGACACTTCTGTTCTCCCTCAAACCATTACTAGTATTAGAGCTGGCTCAGCATCTCTCCACTCTCTTCCTTCCCAACTTCTGAAACTATCCTGAGCCACGCTTGTATCTCAAAAGTCCTCTCAAAACAATGAGAATTGTACAGTTCCTTGGAAAGTCATAAGTACCGTTTCCATACTTCTAGGAGTTCCTAAAAATGATGTTTAAAAGTTCTCTTATTGAATTCTTGAGGGCCGCGAGAACGTGACAAATGCACTGTTTCTAATTTTGCATCACAGTAGATCCTTCAAGGAAAACAGAGAAAACGCAGAAAACTGAGCACTTCTTAACTAGGCAGCTCTGAAGGAGTGTACACTCACCTGAGTAAAACGGGGACTCCGGAGCCATATGTGCTCACACAACACTGGTGAAGACCATTCTTCCCTCAGTTAGGCAAGAACATGGTTTTCAAACCACACAGAACAGAGACTTATTTCATAATCTTTCTTAACACACACGCGACACAATGAGATAATTGTTCAGTATACTCAGCACTCTAAAAATATTGCTAATGTTAGAGCCTCAACAAAAAGCAGTGGTTTCTGAAAAATAGTTCTTTAAAAATTCAAAGCCCTGCAATGAATAAGTACAACATCTGCATTTCCCCAGTGTGTGTCCCGTCTCAGCAGACGTGAGGGTTGGTGCCGTCTGCAGAGACCGCAGTCGAGGACCATCGTTAATTTGGTTGCTTCCCACCACGTTAAAAATGTCCTCAGAGACTTACCACATGCCCGTAAGTCAGGGTGCCACCCTGTCTGCTCTCGGTTTATCCCAGAGAGAAGCTTTAACGGATCTGGGAAATCCGTGGTGGAGCTTCTTCGTTGGCATGAAGAAACAGAAGCTCAGTTGGGTGAAGCAGAGGACTGTGGAGGCTAAATGTGGCAGGCGGCCCCGTCCCTTCAATAGACGTCATCTCAGTGTTCAGATGTCATCTTGATCTCCTCATAGCTCAGCACACACACTACGTTCCGCTACAAGACTGTTTTTAGCAGAGGAGGACAAACAATTTCTATTTTAATTTGATCTAAAAGTAAATACTTAATTTGTTACCTTTGATAAGTTTTTATTTCTGTTAAATAAGAGAACTTTTAATTGCACAAAAAATAGGAATGACTATACATTCTGTAACTTGGTTCTTTTTTCCAAGTCTGTGCAGAGGCAGAATTGGCAGATGTATAAAGGACAGAAATCAGTTCTCCCCCGGTCCCCACAGAGTCAGGATGTTAGAAGTTTGAATCAGAAATCCACATGAAGTTGAAGTGCCTCATAAAAACATGAGGATGTTGCAAAAAATGTAAATAACTCCTTGTTTTAGAGACATGGAAACTGGCCCGAGTGGAGCAGGTGCCACCAGGCCAGGCCATCCCCTCCCAGCCCTCCGTGACATTTCTCCTGGAGATGTTAACGTGTTTCCACCCAACACTCGCTCTTATGGAGCCATGTGTGACAGCAGGGCATTCTTGCAGCGTCTCTTGGTGACCAAAGGCCAGGCTTACATCTGTCCCTGGTTCCCATGTAGGGTGTGCGGGGGCACCTTCACACACTCCATCTTGCTGATTAAAGTTTAGAGAGTACTACACTGAATTCTATTCCCAGCTCGATTTCAAATAATTTTTTTAAATTATGAAATCAATGAGGAGGGACAGAGAAAAACCAAGACAGATTTTTAAAATAATAATGAAAATAAAATTCTGAGCAAAAAATTATTGTTTATATTTATATGTTATATAGAATATTGTATATTAATATGTAACTTTACCACTGCAGTGATTTACCCACAGGACACTCAATACTGCATGAATGTATAAAAACTGTACTTAAGTACTGTACTGGTGCCATATTGAGAAGAGCAGTCAGCTGCTTAACTAGGCAGAAGTGTGACCTCGGGCTGACCCAGGTGACCTCACTTCCAGATCTGCCGCCTGCCTCCTCTGAGGTCGGTTAGTGGATGCGGGTGCGTGCTGGGAAAGGCCGCACTAACCGTGTTGCATGTGGGTGTCTGGTGGGTGACCCACACTCCCTGACGTGTGGGCACGTGGAGCCCATCCCGCTCATCCCACACGGCGTTAACAGGTGTTTCTCCCACAGGACCAACGACACAGGTGTGCTCTCCTACAAGGAGCACCTGCCCGTGACACAGATCGTGGTCACAGACGCAGCCCGCTCGAGCTCCGAGGCCGCCTACAGACTGGGGCCTCTGCTGTGCCAGGGGGACCGTAAGTAGCTCCCTCAACGCTTCTTTCCCAGCAGTGGCTGGTCAATGTGGACGACAAGGGGGCCGCAGGGTCTAAAACAGCATCCTGCACCTGGCGACCTGTGCTCCATCAGGGGGTTGATGGAAAAGGAGGAATTATGTCCCTTTTTAAAATTAGGAAAGTGATCAATGCTGTGTCACTGTTACTCAATATTTGGTGAAAACCTTTACTGTGAAATGCAACGAGAGCCTCTGAGAAAGTCTTCCGGCCGCCCAGAGACACCACAGGCCCATCCACTAAGAGCAGGCCAAGTACTCAGGGAGGAGAAGGTTCCGGAGAGCCCGCGAGCCCCATCGGGTGCACAGACACCCTGCTCCATCTCCATCGCCCGCTGAGAGAGCCGCAGATCCACAGAACACCGTGAGACTCGGCTTTCCAGCCTCCGAGGACGGCTGAAGTCAGAACATCTGCTGGAAACAAAGCAATTGACGAGACGGAGTGAGCCTTCCATTTCTCCTTCGTCGCTCAGCTCTCGCTCTCCTTTCGCTCTGAAGCGATGGCTCCTGCAATGGCATCCAGTCATATTCATGCTAAAGCAGCATTTTAAAAATGCAAATAACAGTTTTGTAGCCACTGTACCTTTTCATCAGACCAGGCTCCGTGACCTCTTCCCGCTGGGGTCACGCAGGGGCACGTCAACCCCTTGATTGTTAACCATTCTCACAGATTTTTCATCCCAAGCCCTTGACCAGAACTTAAAATGAAAACAGAGGAAATCTTTGTTCTAAATTAAAATTGTGTGTGAGTTTATGTTGTTGCCGTGGCAATAGGTGTTTGGAAGAGCAGACATGCTTTGAAAACCACAGGAACACCAGAACATGGGTGCTATAGTTTGAGAAGCTCGGGCAGAGCTGGGGTACACAAATAGATGTGGACACCAACTTGCCCCCCACACCCCAGCATCGCCCCCGATTTTCACCAGAGCCTAGTTCAGTCCTGTTCACCCTCCCCTCCCATCTGTGGTGCAGGTGGAGGCCGGGGTGTGCAGCCTGAGGCACAGCCAGAGAGCGAGCAACAGGACCCTCCTGGGCAGGGGTGCTGTCGCATGGGGGGCAGCTCAGCGTTCTCACCCTCAGGCTCTGGGTCTGTCCCCATCTAGCAGTGACCCAAGACTGCTGGGTCTGGATGTCACACATCAATGATGGGATGGTCTTTTCTCCCAAGATTTTACTCGATTATTTCCTCTTTCCTGGCTGACAGCAGCCCCACTGTCATGTTCATGGGAGAATTGGGATTCCATTTCTCAGTTAAGCCTTTCATCTATGGCTGCAGACAGGGCTGATATTCATGTTAAGAACCATGGTGAGCTGGAGCTGACCCACCAGAACAAGCCCACACTCCATCAGGCAATGGCTAGACGTCAGCTGGAAATCGGGCCAGGAGCCACGTGGGGTCCGGAACAACCACGTGAGAGTTGCACGTTTGTTGCCGATGGCAAGTTTTAATTTTGCTAATTGTTTTTCCTTTCATCGTTTTGGGGAGAGGTGAATTCTGTGAACGAGCTTCATGGCACCATCTTTACCCAAAAGTCTGTGTGCAAACATTTTGTGTGTGGAAAGAGGTGGTGCTCATGTGCACTTGCCGTTTGATGATCTGAACTGCAAAGCCATTTTAAATCTTGGACGTTTGAATTCTGCAACCCATTTTATTCGATGTATTTCTTTTCAGATAATTTATTCCATTAAAATTTTAAATTTAGTTTAAGCATCTGCCTTGCTGCTTCCACCAAAGACATGCAGTTGGGAAACTCTGTTCTAACTGTCCTGTGGTCTGAAAAGCCATTCTTGAGCCACTGAACTTGGTTCTTTGGTTCTGTGCGCGGAGCCTGGAGCCGCTGTCTGGGGAACCGGAGCTCTAGAGTGTGTCAACATGTGAGGTGCACAGGGATAAACAAGCCCAGGGGAGAGAGACTATGATGTCATTAACTTCCCCTCCATTTGGCTCTGCTGCATCAAAACCATGTCAGACAAAGGTGGATCCCTCCCATTTTCAAAGACCCCCAGACAGCAGCCCTGGAAAGATTTCACGGGTGGCAGTCCTTCCCAGGGCCTGGTAGCGCCTGCCATTTTGAAATTCCTACAGTATTCTTTGTTTTCTTCACTTCCCCTGACTGTCCCATCTTCCTCCACCTCCTTTTTCTCCTCCTCTCCCTCCATCTCCTCTTTCTTCCCTCCCTACCGCCTACTTCCATTTCCACAAATAACATGAGTGGTATTATAGGAAGTTGAATTATGAAACCAAAAAGAAAGAAGTGTTCTACCTTCTCATTGGCTAAAGAAAAGAGGAAATATTGTCAGGACATTTAGTCAAATAATTATTGTGTGCCTCCTTGATCATGCAGCAGGGGCAAGACAGAGGGACACCACTGTCCTCCTGGGGCCAATTAAGTGAAGAAAAGAAACACACACACGTAGGTGTCAGTAGGCAAAGTGAGGAGAAGATAGGGGAAGGTGAGGTGTTGGGAAGTCTTCCCTGGAAGGCACCATCTGAGTGCAGCCCCGCAGGACTCCTGGACACGGGCTGGACCGACGAGGAAGGGCATCCCACGCGGGGGGAACAGAGGCCAGAGTTCTTGGCCTGGGAGTCAGCATTGACTGAGGCCAGGGCACTGGCGCTGGATTGAGATTTATCTGAAGGCGAAGGCAGAAGAGTGTAAATTGCAGATTGATGTGAGTTATGAACAGGGTCAAGATGACGCCAAGTGTTTGGTCCAAGCAACAGAGAAAGGAGCCGCCGTTAATGAAATGGGCTATTATCAGCTGGGGAGTATGAGGAGCTCCAGTTTGAACAGGCTGGTCCAGATGCCTGTGAGATGAACACGGACACAGAGACGAGAGGGAGGAGACTGGACCTGCTCACGTGGCATTCCAGGGAGATGCTGACAGGTGAATGAGTGTCCAGAGAGAAGGGAAAATCTCAAGGACAGAGCCCTGGGGCAGAGGTCAGGAGGCGAGGGGCAGTCCAGGAAGTCTGTGCAGACAGTGCCTGAGAGGAGGAGGAAGCTCGAGTGACTGTACAGTGTGCTGGGAAGGAGGAGGGTCCCTGTGCAAGGCTGCTGGCGGACCACGTAGGAAGAGAGGAAGCCACCGCCAGACTTGGTCAGTGTTGACCTTCTCAGTTCCTCCAGTGCCAAATCCCAGCTCCCACACTGCACCCAACCCCACAGCTGCGTCCACTTCAGTCTGAGATGCACAAGTCACAGGGGTGGGGGATGCAGAAAACCAAAGATACATCACTCACTAATTCTTTATCTTGCCCCGGAATGAAGTGGGAGAGCTAATCAGACCTCTGGGTCCACAGTTACTTCTTTCCACTTCCTTTGGACCTGCTGATTCTAAGTGGTCACAAGAATAAATAGCAAGAAATAAATAGTAAGAAAAAGCAGTGTGTGTTCCTATGCTCTAGATCATAAAAGCATTTGTGCGTGTCTTTGGAATATCAATAATTTTGTAGTAGCTGCAAATACCAGAATAGCTGTACACAAATCCGGAAGCAAATGTGAGCAGTGAAGACCCGTGAACGCCTGTCCCCTGAGGTGGCTTCTAGGTTCTGTCTGACATATGAATAACTTAGAATACTTACCATTTTCTGTTTGTCACACCAGTTCTGCACTGCAGGTGACTCTCTACCAGTAGTGGTTGTTCTACACAAACATATATGAACAGCTTTGTTCTCTTCCTGCTGGTCTACAAAACAAAAATGGTAATTATATCCACCATATTCCATCATTTTCATTTCTATTTTGCTTTATATTTGATTCCAATTGTTATTTTCTAAAACATTTGAAAATAACATTACAAATTTTAGGGGAGGAACCACTGAAGTGTAGGATCAACCCATGCATCTTCGTGTTCTCAGAACTGGAATCATAGCCGCTCTTGGGGTTGGTTCTCTCTTTGTTAAAAAGCCGTGCTTACCAGTTCATTTACTTCATGATAAGGAAGATGAATTTGACTAAAGAAATAGTTCTCATCCAAGCATTTTCATAATTTCTACGCCTAGTTTTAAGAAACAGATTGTTTACATTTTTTGTATCTTTGATTTTGGAAGTAAACATCCTTGTTTTATAAAGTAATGTGCCTTTAACATGGTCTCTATTCCTTTTCAAAGGATAATTAATTTATTATTAAGGTAATTTATTAATGGGTCAAATAAAAGTTTGAAAAGGAAAATATTTCTAAAAATCACCCTTAATCCAGTCAGGCTAATGAAATTAATTACCCTAAATGGGCAATGTCTATCTATGCATCTATCTCCATCATATATATTTTTGTATATACACACAATGTGTACACAATATGTATATGTATATACTGTATATATACATACATTATATATAATATATACCAAGTATTAAACTGTATATATAATTTATATACATGATACTGCCTCTCCCTCTACTTTGTAAATAACTATTTGGATTATGTGACCATTTTGTACCATACACACACACACACACACACAGGGTATAAAGGTTGCCTTCAAGCAGCCCTCTCATCCAATCTGAAATTTAAGGGTCCTTTGATACTGTCACTGTCTCCTTGATGGATGAAGTTGATCTTGCTGTTCTCCCAATGACATCACCTATGGCAGGGCATGTTTGCATCTGCGCCCAGAGCTCATGGGTCCACCTGGTGTGGCCCCGGGAGCTCTCCCTCTATGGGAAACTAAGGCATTCAGGAGCCCCTGCCCCTGGATCTCCCCCTCCTCCCTCGAGGCAGCCAGAGGACCTGGTGTCCCCAAGGGTGCAGGTGACGGCAGTGGTGCTCACTCTTCCAGGTCACCTGTCCAGTTCCACTGATAAGGGCTTGATGACCAGTTAGAGTAGACGTTGGTCAGAAGGCTTCAGCCAAGTGGGGGATAAGTAGTGCCACCCCTAGATGTAGTCATTGTCTATATGGGCAGCCCATGGGAAACAGGTTCTAATCTGCTAGATTAAACCAGTCCCAGAGCTTCCCCTTCGGTCTACTTATAAAATTGAAATGAAATAGACCTTTAGAATTTTTTTCTCTAATTTGGAATTTTAAGGAGGACGACCGTTCCTGATGACACATCAGGCATGTTTGGGCGGATCCTCCTATTTTCTCTGTAGTGGTGTCTTAGTTCAAGAATTTTCTGTAAGAGTTCAACTAGAAGAGCACTGCGGTCCTTCACAAGTGGCTGCAGGGACTCCCAAGGCCACAGACAAGAAGTTATCCTGTCGGTCCCTTGGTGCCCCTGCTTCTTGGGGTCACTAGGACAGACAAGCAAAGGAAGAGCTGGAAAGAAGAAATTAAGACATTATGATGCTCCAGACAGAGATCAATAAAATGTCTTCAAAATGTTTTCTCACTGAAAACCCAGCAAAAGGGGCTGTTGGCTGCATACGAGCCATAGGAAACCTGAGAATTGACTGCTGGATTTGGGTCCCCACTGAAGAAATCAGAAATGCAGACAAGAAATGCTCTTGTGTTTTGACTCAACAGAAAATAAATGCAGATCCATGCACAGCTCAGCACAGAGATGAGCCATGGTGGCATCTGTCCTCTAAGAATAGAGTGGAGGGGTATTTGGGGTCACTGTTTTCTGCCCCCAGTCCATGAATTCATTCTTCAGGAAAAGCAATTTAGGTGTGAGGATGTTATCAACTACTGTGAATTATATGGAGCGTGCTGTGTCAATTAAAGATCTGTACTTACAATACGTGCCCCTAGGACTTTGGTGGCAATGCCAGCCCCTCTCAGAGCCCACGATGGCACAGCTCACTGCCAGGTCAACACCGATTCCCCAAGGACGTGAGCCAGCCATGCTGCCAGGTCACCTTTCATCAGGATGCGTCACAGCTTGTTCTGTGAAATCCAGCATCCAGCCAGATGCAGACAAGCCCACAGCATCTGCTCAAAAGGGAAGCTATGGACAGACACAACTAGAGTGAAGAACGTGCAGACAAAAACTGATGTGAACTCACCTCATGTCACACCATCAGATGCCTTTTTAGGTTTCCTTTCTATTAACTTGCTAATCGTTGGGAAGGTTCTTTGCATCAATTTGAGCGCCTTTAAGGTGTTTTAAGGCATTTATTTTTCACTGATTTTGAGCCGTGTGAAATAACACCAGCAGAAACCAGTGTGACGAACGTGACGACTTCCCAATGCCCCTGCATAAGGAGCAGGGGGAACACGTTTGTGTGGCCACGAGAACATCACCACAGCCTGAGATCCACCTTCTCCTGGCTGGTCTCTGTGTTCTGTGAGGATATACCACCCCCGGCCCGGGCTAGGGAGGGAGGTCCCGCCATGTGGAAGCGGCCTTTACTGAGGGAGGGGCCCTTTGACCTGTCTGGGTTGGTGGGGTTACGGTGGGCAACTCTCTGTATTTCTGCAGGATTTTCTTTAATTCAAAGTTATGTAGATGCTTACAGTTTAAAATGATGAGTAAATGAAGGGTTGATAATGAAGTGTGGTGGGCAGGATCAGAGTGAAGGCATCTCCTCATAGACGGTGCACAGTGAACACTGCTGCACGGCTCCTCCCTCCACGATGCCGAGAGCGTTCTCGGCTGACCGCCACACTCCCAGTTCTCCTAACATCGTCAGACTTCTGTTCACAGTCTGGTAAGGTACGTTCAGGAGAAGGTACCTTTGTACCTTGCACAGGACACAAAGGCGGCTCCAAGGGTTTGCCCCCCTTTGACAGCAGGCTGTCCTCAAGTGTCGTGAGCTTGTTTTCTGACCTTTTCCCTCCTTTCCCACAAGGATTGTTCTGGAATTCGGCCTCCTTCCACACTGAGACTTCGTACCTTCATTTCCCCACTTTCCACGGAGAGCTCAGCGCCGACGTGTCTTTCTTTTTCAAGACCACAGCTTCGTCTGGGGTGTTTTTAGAGAACCTGGGGATCACAGACTTCATCAGCCTTGAGCTGCGCTGTAAGTTTCCAGAAAATTCCGTGGAGCAGTCGTTATTTGACAAGGAGCCCTTGAGATGGTCCCCTGTTTAAAGTGCTCTGTGCCTCCTGGACCAGTCAGCGCCATCTCTTCACTCACTTCCAGCCCTAAGATTCTGTGAATTCCACTAAGCAGCCATAAGATACACCGCATGAGGCTGATAACACACTTGAGAGCCGATAGGAAGGACCTGTCTGCACGGGACCAATTTAGGATGACTTTAGCCAGGTGTAGACAGGGCTTTAAATTCAACTAGTTCTTCCACAAAGTGCTCACTGAATCCCCAAATCCTTTCATTGCACAAACCCATAATGGATGATCCACACCCACAGCTTGCTTATAAAAGTATATGAACTTCTAGACTAAATTCTACAAAAATCCAGATGTTTTATGGTTACTCTGAATGAGAAATTATCTTTTCAATTCAGTACACATCAAAATTAATAGCATATTCTGAGCTTATATTTTTAAAATCAATATTTTCTCAAATCTAAGATCACTTTGCCCCTCCCTCCTCCCTCAGAGATCGTTTCCTGTGGCGATGTCAATCCACACGGGTGTCGGGCACTCGGGCTGTTCCCCAGGATGATCTCCCTGGGGGCCCACACTCAGGCCCTGCCCAGGACATAACTTCACGCTGGTCTGTTTCCAGCTCCTGCAGAGGTGACCTTCTCCTTCGACGTGGGAAACGGGCCCTGTGAGGTCACAGTACAGGCGCCCACTCCGCTCAGTGACAACCGGTGGCACCTGGTTCGAGCGGAAAGGAACATGAAGGAGGCATCGCTGCAGGTGGACCAGCTCCCACGTGGGACACGTGCTGCCCCTGAGGATGGGCACGTGCTCCTGCAGCTCAACAGCCAGCTCTTCGTGGGTGAGTGCTGCCCTGGGTGCCCTTTCCAATTGCGGGGCTCCTGTGGGGGCGGATCCAGAGAGAAGGAGGCAATAAAGCAGGGGTATGGCACATGTGACACACCAGCCACACTGCTGTCGGCCCGTCGAGCACCTGTGGCTCCAGGCACTGGGCCAGGCACTTCTTGCTTGATCTTATCCTTATGGCACCTGCCAACAGATGACCTTCCCCACTTGATGGACCAGGAAGCCGGCTCACTGAGCTGGGGGAACTGCAGCACACAAACGCCTGGTGGGTCAGGGCACCAAGCCCGCCCAGGGCTTGCTCCCGAGTGGCACCAGGTGTGCACACGCTCTGGCCACTCTGTGTCCAGGGGATAGCATAGTGGTCAGCTGTTCGCACCTGCTGCTGTCTATGCTTCCAGGTGCACGGGTGACTTTCCCCAGGGATCCCCCAAAACAGAGATAGAGGGAGACAGGAGGGGATGGTCCTGGACCACGCCTGACATTCTTATCTCCTCCTGTCCTGCCCTGACCTCCTCCCGACCCCGGCACATGCTCCCTGTTCACAAACAAATCCAGCTGGGCCTTGTCTCTACCTGCTCTTACCCCCGCAGGCCTGGAGCAGAGTCTGTGCCACGGTGGGTGGGTTGCATTCACCGTTAGCTGTGTTGTTCACAAACAACTTTATCCTGATTTGGGCTCAGTAGACAAAGGGAGTAGCCCTTCCATGACCACCCCATGCGTATCACATAAGTAAGGATGCTATTTGTTACTAACTCCAATAAATGAAAAATAATCACACACTATTACTGAAATATCAATGAGGTACACGTTTGAACTAAATTCCTAGGATCCTTACACACTATCATCACTTAAGCAATAAAGTCTTATCAGCTTCTTCTATCCAAAAGATGAAGCTTTTACTGATATTTTACAAACACAATTTTTAGTACTTTCTGTGTAATTTTTTTTGCTTTTTTCAACTATTTTATTTTATTGGAGAGATTTATTGAGATTTCTATGCCTAAGGTACTGCATTAAAGGCCCTCATTGTGATCATATGACCAAACTTGAATAAAATATGCAAAGATATACTTTTAAAAAATTGAGTAAATATAAATAAGATATAAAACTCCTCTAATATCATGCTGAAAATTCATAGACAGGGTAATTTTGCTTCTTATGCCTTGTTTTTTGTTGACTAAAACATCTATCAACCCCACTTATATCTCAGTTTTTATACTGGGTTAGTTAATCATAAATCCTTGAATCATCAATACATTTTAACACAAAATCTCAGATATGATGCTACATTAGCATCTGTCCTCCTGAACTTGGCAGTGCAATTGTGGAGTGATTTTGAAGAATTCGAAACCTCAGAAATAGCCTTAACACTTTAAAAATGGAGACGATGGAAATTTTCTTCACATCTTTGAGTAAAATCTGCTCTGGTTTTCCTGCAGCTGCGCTTTGTAGCATCTGTGAGATTTTGAAACTATTTCTAGAGTCAGTGTCTATTGTTCCTGCTGGGGACTGATTTCAGGTAAAACTCAGCCTCTCAGCCCTCCACTTAGGGAGAATCATTTTCTCAGAAAAAAGTCTCTAACCAAGCTAGTAAAGTATAAACTAAAATAAGTTTATTAAGTTACAGACACAATGTAACCATCAAACAAACCACAATATCTATTATTATGGATCAACACATTCTTCCCCATAGGCTAATTAATAAAATTCACAATAGAGTTTGCCTGGAATCAGAGCTGTCTAGTTATTATTATTTATTAAGTGCTGAGGGCCGAGCTGTGTGATAAGGGGTCGGATGCATGATCTGATTAAATTCCAGTTCCCTTTGAGAAGCAGAGGTTCGTAAGGGTGCGGGGCGTCCCTGTGTCCACAGAGCTGACTGAGAAGTGGACCGTTCTCTGGTCTTGGGTTCATCTCACAGCAGCCACTCCTTGCCACCTGCCTCTGTCTCTCTAGGTGCAGGGGCACCCGTCGGCTTCCCTTCCCCATCAGGAGAGCCCAAAGGCCCCCGCTGGTCCCACCACCCTCTCCCCATCTACTCCGGGTTTCACTCCAGGAAATCAGATGCATTGTTCTTGACCTTGGGCTGCCCAGCCAGTAAAAGTGGTGCTAATATTTGAAATGATGCTACAGATCTTCATGTGAGATGTGTCCCATCCTCACTCACAGCCGTCACTGCTTCCAAGTGATGACTGATCTAAAGGGATATCTCTGTCTCGGTCTCAATCTGTCTGTACAGTTTTCTAGTAGAAATGTCACAGGACATTCTTTGTTTGCAAGTTCTAGGGTAACAACTCCCAGTGTGCTGTGTGTCAGCCCGCCAATTCTGAGAAAATAGTCACTGGTTTGTAGTGAGACTTCGTCAGTAGATATGACACATGCATGGGATTACTAAGATGACACTATCTCTTCAGAATTGCTATTGCTCTATTTTTGTATAATAGTTTTCATCCTCAGACTGCATGGAAGAAAGGTCTTTAAAAATATCTGAAAAAAGAGAACGTTAATGGCTTTCCCATACAGCGATATCATAGCATTTAGCAATTAGGATCCTTTTCACTTGAAAATAGATCTGATCAGAGCACATAATAAATCATTCAGTGAAGTTCAAACCTTCTATAAATTTGCTAAATTAGAATATAAATATGAAACATAGAAAGTTTCACGCTCATGCATGAGATAAAGTTTACTTGAGATGCTATCTCTAACGCTTTCATCAGCAACAAATAGTTTTCTTATTTAAATAAATGCTAATTTAATTTAAATTACATTCTATATTTTGTTATTCCTCTGTATCAAGACCCATGGTATTCTGGTATTATATTTTAGAAGATTAACTTGTTGGCCTCTCGCAAAGGACGGTCTAAGGCACAAACACGGAGAATTCAGAGTGCTTTCTCCTGTGAAGATCACATCTTCCCCAGAGAAGAGGACCACTGAGAAAAACCACAAATATGATCAAAAATAATAATTAAGGAATCCACTGAGCCTTCTACCTCCATCTGCTCTGGAGAACTTCTGTCAAAGAGCACGGAGCTGAGCAGAGGACTTTGTGGCAAACACACACGTTCCCATCTTAGAACACATCTGTGATTGATGCCATCATAGTGACTGGGTCAATGAAGAAAAACGTTGCAGAAGAAATAAGGCATTTACAGAGGATTTCCCTGAGCAGCACACTATTCCCCCACAATTCCTCTGGATTCCTTTGGCCCACAGTGAACATCCTATTAATGGAGTCACATAGTGGGAATTCCTCTGAGTCTGCTTGGTTTGTTCAACATAATGTCTGTGAAATTCATCCTTGTTGCACAGACCAGTACTTTTTTCCTTTTAAATTGCTGTGAATGTTCCATTGAACCAACATATCACAGAGCAATTATTGCTTCTTCTGTTGACAGAGTCTGAACTGTTTTCAGTTCTACATTGTTAGGGGTGGAGCTGCTCTGAGCATTTTTGTGCAAGTCTATTTGTGCCCACGAGCACTCGCTTCTCCTGCACACACACACATTAGGGGAGTTGCCGGTTCATGGGGTAGACCTGCAGTAACTGTACTAGAAATATCCAGCCAGTTTTTCAAGGTGGTTTTTACATTTTTCACTCCCACTGTAATGTATGAGAGCTTCACTTGTTCCATTTTGTCATTAATGTCACAATTTTGTCACAATGAGAATAGGGCAGTCACGTTGTGTCCTTAATTTGTAGTCCCTTGGTTACTAATGAGGTTGAACATACACTTTATATGTTTATTAGTCTCTTGAAAATCTTCCTAATGAAGTGCCTATTTAAGTCTTTTGCTCATTTTTTAACTGGCCCGTTTACCTTATTATTATTGATTTGTAGAAAGTTTTATAGATTCTGGATACTAGTCCTTTATTGGATACTTTCATCACAACTATTATCTACCCGTCTGAGGCTTGCTTTTAGCTTTTTACCAATGTTTTGGGAGCAGAAGTTTTAGTATTGATTAAACTTTGGATTAAAAATATTAAAGTCCAATTTATCAAGGATTTCTTTTATAGTTAGTGCTTCTTGAGTCTTGCTAAGAAATCACTGTCTACCCAGGTTTGTAAAGAAATTCTCCTGTTTTCTTTTAGAAATTTTATAATTTTAGCTATCACTTTTAGGTCTATGATCTACCTCAAAATATTTTTACATACAGTGTGTGGTAGGATTCAAGGTTTACTTTTTATACCACTTTACTAGGGTATCATCGACACATAGAAAGCTGTACATATGTAATGTATACAACCCGATGAGCTGAAGCTTCTTCTGTTTGTGTACCAAGCCCCACGGAATGGGCCGTAGGACATCATGTCAGTATTTCATAGTGACACGCTGGAAGATCTCACTGTTTCAGACTCCATGGTGTGGTTTAATGTCCATGGAGCTCATGGTAAAAACTGAAGGAACAATTCAAGAATAGTTAGCGATATCCACTGTCTTATTTATATTGATGCTTAGATGCTACCATTGCTTTATGGATAACTTCTAGAATAGATTTTTTTTATTTTCTTAGTTTTAATTTTTTTAATGTTCTTGATAACATTTTTTCTGGTTTTATTGAGGTGTAATTGACATATAACGTTGTATTAGTCCAAGGTCTACAACTTAATGATTTGATATAATTATATATTGTGAAGTGATCACCACAGTAAGTTTAGTTAACATTAGTTACCTCACATAGTTACAAAATTCTTTTCTTGTGATGAGAACTTTTAAGATCTACTATCTCAGCAACAACACAGTATCGTTAACTGTAGTGACCATGCTTACCTTACCCCCCAGAACTCGTTTATCTTATAACTGGGAATGTTTTACCTGTTGACCACCTTCACCTGTTTCCCCACCCCCTGCCTCTGACAACCACCAGTCTATTCTCAGTCCCTGTGAATTTGATGTTTTTAGATTCCACATATAAGAGAGATCATATGATATTTGTCTTTCTCTGTCTGACTTACTGCACTTAGCATAATGCCCTCAAGGTCCACCCAAGCTGTCACAAATCCTGATTGGGATTGTGTCAAATCTGTGGATGAATTTGGGGAGAAGTGACATCTAAACAATCTTGAGTCTTCAACTCCATAAATATGGTATATCTCTTCATATTTCTGGCCCTTCTTTAATTTTTCTCAACAACATATTATAGTTGGAAGTGTACAAGTCTTGTACATCTTTTATTAGATTTATTCTTATTTCATATTTTATGCTATTGTAAATTATAATTTAAAATTTTAATTTCTGATTGTTGCCAATGTATAGAAATTCAGATGATTTTTTTCTACTTTGATCTTAACTACAACCTTGATAACTTATTTATTAGTTCTAGTAGCTTTTTTGTAGATTCTATCAACTTTTCCTCCATGGACAATCATGTTATCTTCCAATAAAGATGGTTTTACATCTTCCTTCCCAGTACAGATGCTTTGTTACTAGTGTTTTTCTGTCTGTCACATGAGCTAGGACCTCCAGTGGGCATAGACTGGACATGCTGAGAGCAGGCTCCTCGTCCTGGTCCTGATCTGACAGGGAGAGTACTCAGTCCCTCACTTTCATGTGATGTTAGCGATGGCCCCGTCACAGATGCCTTTTATCAGGTTCAGAAAGTTCTCTTATATTCTTAGCCTGAGGAGAGTTTTTATCAGGAAAGGATTTTGGATTTTGTTATTGTGTTTTCTTTATCGATTGAGATAATCAGATGATTTTACATTTTTATTATTCTGTCAATATGGTGAATTGTATTAAGAGAGAAGATTAAAAACAAAGCTTGCATCTGAGATAAAAACTATTTGGTTTCATGAGGAATTATCTTTATTATGTATTGTGGGATTTGATTTACTAAAATTTGTTAAGAATTTTTGCAGTTATTTTTAAGAGGAATGTCTCTAATTTTCTTTTCCTTTAATATCTTTTCTGTTTTGGTATCAGAGAAATGCTGCTTCACAGACTAAGTTGAGAATTATTCCTCCTCTTCAGTTTTTTTGGAAGGTTTTGTGTAGATTGGAATAATTTCTTCCTTCAGTGTTTGGTTGAATTCACTACTGAAGCTGTCTGCACCTGCACTTTTCATGGTAGAAGATTTCTAAGTACAAATTTAATTTCTTTAATGGATACATAGCTACTCTGATTATCTATTTCTTCTTAATAGAGCTTCAGTAATTTGTGTCTCCTGAGAATTCATGCTTTGTATTATCTTTTAAATATTGGTCACATCTGTGGTGATGTCATCTTTCTCATTGATGACACTGGCAATTTCTCTCTCTCTCTCTCTTTCTCTCTTTCTTTTCCCTTATCAGTCACTCTACACTTTTATCAATTTTATTAATATTTTCAAAGAACCTGCTTTTGGTTTGATTGGTTACTAGTTTTATGTTTTCTAGTTCATTGATTTATACTCTGATATGTGTTATTTCTTTTTCTGATTTCTTTAGGTGTCATTACTCATCTTTTTCTGTTTTCTTAAGTTGGAAGGTGAGGTAATTGATTTGGAACCTTTCTTCTCTCCTAATATGGGTGCACAGTACTAACAGTTGTCCTCTAACTATTGCTTTAGGTGCATCTCACAAATTTTGACATGTATTTTTATCTTTATTCACTTTGAAATATTTTCTAATTTCTCTTTTGCTTTCTTCTTTGACTCATGCATTATTTATAAGTGTATCATTTATGTTTCAAATATTTGGGGATTTTTTAGAGATTGCCTCTACTGTGAAACCTACTTTTTCTGATATAACACTACAGCTTTCTTTCAATTAGTGCTAGCATGGCGTATCTTCTTCACTTCATTTACATTAATCTCTTGAGCTTTATATTTAAAGTGGGGATTGTTAGGCAGCACATAGTGGAGCTGTGGATTATTATACAACCTGAATATTTCTGTCTTTTAATCTCAATATTTGTATTTATATTCAATATGCTTTTTTGTATGGTTGGGTTTAAATCTACCAACTTAATGTTTATATCCTATTTGTCCCATATGTTCTTTGTTCCCTTTTTCCATTTCTTTTTCTGTTTTCATTTGGATTGAATAATTTATATGTTCCATTTTATCTCCTTTTTTGGCTTATTAGCTATAATTCGTGTGTGTGATATTTTCCTGGTTGGCTTGGGGGTGTTTAATCATCTTTAATTTATCACAGTCTACCTTTAAGGGATATTTTCCCACTCCACATGTGGTATAAGTAACTTAAAATAGAATATTTTTATCTCTTTCCTCCCAGGATTTGTGCTTTAATGTCACACTTTGTGCTTACGTAACATACATAGAACATGTTATAAGCCTCAGAATACATTGTTAACATTTTTTTCTTTAAATAGTCAGTTATACTTTAAATAAATTTGGTAATACAAAAATGTTTTTATGATTTACCCATGTAGTAGCCATTTACAATCTTCTTGTGCGTAGATCTGGATTTCCATCTGGCAGCACTTCCTTCACCTTGAAGGATTTCCTCTTATATTTCTTGTAGTGCGAGCCTCTGGTGATGAATTCTTTCAGCTTTTGTTTACCTGAAAAAAAAAGACTTTATTTTACTTCCACTTTTCTTTTATAATTTATTTTTTCCCCCCCAAAGCCCCAGTAGATAGTTGTATGTCATAGCTGCACATCCTTCTAGTTGCTGTATGTGGGACGCGGCCTCAGCATGGGCGGAGAAGCGGTGCGTCAGTGCGCGCCCGGTATCCGAACCCGGGCCGCCAGCAGCAGAGCACGTGCACTTCACCGCTAAGCCACGGGGCCGGCCCCCACTTTTCAAAGATATCTTTCTAGGCAAGAATTCTATGTTAGCAGTTTGTTTTCTTTCAGTATTTCAAAGTTGCTGCCCTGGTTTCTGACTCGCATTGTGTCTGATGAGAAATCTGCTCTCTCCTTTATCTTTGTTCCTATACGTGTAATGCATCTTTTTTCTCTGGCTGCTTTCAATATTTTTAATTCATTCATACTTTTAAGCTATTTTTTAATGACACACCTTAGTTTATTTTCTTTCTGTTTCTTGTGTTTGGGTTTTATTGAGTTTTATAGACTCTAGGTCTATAGTTTTCACCAAATTTTGAAAATTTTTAACTATGACATTTTTTGGTCCCCTACCCTCCCCTTTCAGGAACTCCTATTAACATATTTTAGGTGGCTTAAAGTTTTCCTACATCTCACTGATACTCTTAATTTTTTTTCAGTCTGTTTTCCCTCTTGTGATTCATTTTGGCTAGTTTTACATTGCCAGGTATTCAGGTTCACTAAGTCTTTTCTTCCATCAAGTTTAATCTGCCATTAATCTCATTTAATGTATTTTTCCTCCTCAAAAATTGTAGTTTTATCTCTAAAAGTTCAATTTGAGTCTTTTTAAAATATTCCATTTCTCTACAAAACAAATATTCACCACTTCCTCTAGCTTTTTGAACACACGGAATTCAGTCATAATAACTGTTTTAATATTCCAGCCTGTGAGTTCTATCATCTACATCCTTTCTCGGTAACTTTCACTTCATTGATTTTTCTCCACATGACTTGTCATAAATTCCTGCCTCTTTGTATGCTTGGCAATTTTTTAATTAGATCTGGACCTTGTGTATTTCACATTGTTGGACACTGGATTTTTTTGGCTCCTTTACATATTTTTTTTTTCTTCTTTGGATTTTATTGCAGTCACATTGGTTTATAACATTGTATAAATTTCAGGTGTACATCATTATACTTCTATTTCTGCATAGATTACATCCTGTTCACCACCCAAATACTAATTACAATCCATCACCACACATATTTTTGAGCTTTGGTGTGGGACAAGATTAAAGTATTCGGAAACAGCTTGATTTTTTTGTGGCTTGCTTTTAAGTTTTTTTAGGTGGGACTGGAGGGGCAAGTAGTCTAGGATTAATTTTTCCCATTACTGAGGCAAATTTTTTTTAGGTTCTACATCAGATGCCTCCTGAATTTTGTAGTTTGTTCCTCTCACTGTTGGAAACAGCCAGAATCCCCAGTCCTGAGGAAGCCCTGAGCCCCAGCACCTAACCCTAACCCTAATCTAAGTCTATGGGAGCCCCTAACCCCAACCCTAACTCTAACCCTAACCCAAGTCTGTGGGAGCCCCTCTATCTTCTGAGTCATTCTGTCCTGGCCTCAGATATTTCCTTGCAGAGTATGTGTTAGTGAGCTCACTACTTGAGTGGGACCCTCTGCAGACCATAGCCTTCTCTCCACCTAGTTCCCTCACAGGAGCTGAGCAACATCAGCCCCCCTGCATGCCCAGCTCCCCCTGGGCTCCCACCCCTGCATCAAGGCCTGGAAACCCTCCAGGCAGAGACCTGGGTGTGATTGTAGGGCTTGGATCGTTGCTGTCTCATATTTCAGGGATCTTTGCGTTGTGTCCAAATGCTCAGTACCTTTGGAACTCTTGTTTCTCTTTTTTCTTTTTAAGTTATTTTCAAGGTGGGAGTGCAAAGCCAGTTCCCATTACTCCATCTTTGCCATCAATGGAAGTATTTTTGTTTATGCTAAAAAATTCTCACATTTGAGCTAATCATATCAATGTTCACCACATTACATTACAATTATTACAATAATAATAGTGTTTTATTAAGTCTCATTCTTATTCCAATGAGACTAACTTAAAAATAAATTCCTCGGTTAATTAAGAAGGAATCTGTTTAGAATAAACATTAACCAAAGTCAAATTTAAAAAAAAATTAATTTTTTAGTGTTCTTGAATATCTCCTGTGTCAAAATTCATGTTTTGAAAATTATATTTGTTCACAAAGCCTTTTGAGAAGTCATAGTTTTTACCTCTTTCCATAAGCCCTAACTGGATGAGGTCTGGACTGTCTCCTCTGCTTCTGTTGTAGGTGGCACGGCTACCAGACAGAGAGGCTTTCTGGGATGCATTCGGTCTTTGCAGTTGAATGGAAAGACCCTGGACCTTGAGGAAAGAGCCAAGGTCACCCCGGGAGTGGAGCCCGGCTGTCCAGGACATTGCAGCACCTATGGACACTTGTGTCACAATGGAGGACGATGCCAAGAGAAGCCCCATGGATTCTCCTGTGACTGTGAGCTCTCTGCATTCACGGGTCCCTTCTGCTCACACGGTGAGTGGGAACAAAGAACATGACCAGTACAAATGAATGGGCTTGTGTGGATATTTAAAAATCAAATTAAACCTTTTCCACGTAGCTATTTGATAAAAGTATTTCAGTTGCTGGGGCCGGCCCAGTGGTATATCAGTTAAGTTCACGTGTTCCGCTTCGGTGGCCCAGGGTTCACCAGTTTGGATCCTTGGGTGTGGACCTACTCACCGCTCATCAAGCCATGCTGAGGCGGCATCCCACATAGAAGAGCCACAGCTCTACAACTATGACACACAGCTATGTACTGGGGCTTTGGGGAGAAAAAAGAAAAAGAGGAAGATTGGCAACAGATGTTAGCGCAAGGCCAATCATCCTCAGAAAACAAAAAAGTATTTCAGTCACTAAACTCCTTTTGTAAATCACACTTTTACAGCCAATCTTATTTTATTAGAAAGAAATGTGACTCTGCTCTTGAAAAGTCAGTGCTTACTACTGTGAAATCCACTGTCAGTTCTGTGATTTTCTCGAAATACTGTCTGTGCATTCTAATTCTTTGTAGCTGGTGCCTATGTTCTGAGATAATATGTTATTAGAAATCTGCCCCATGTGGCCCTTGCTTATTTCAAAATCACTTTAGATGTCATTATTATTTAAAGTAATAGCTTCCAGTAGTACAGGAAGAATTTTCTTCCAAAAATACATTTTATTGGCATAATAAATACATTTCCCATTTATATTAAGGTGGCTAAAACAGAGCCACTTAAACATTTTGCTCTGGGGCTTGTTGATAATCTCTTGCTACAACAAAAATTATAGAATATTTTTCAGTCTCTCTCATTCTGAGAAGTCACAAGCCGTGTTTTGAAATTACAGAATGAGCTGATTGTAACATGGACATAATTCTTGGAATGTGCTTACAAGTTTTATACTTTCATAGGTATGCACAGAAAACAGCATCATCAAAATAAATTCCAATGCCTCCATTCACGAATCTCTGGGTGGTTGCATTTTGACCTTAAAAGCCCACTGGTTTTTGTGGTACAAACTTGGATACCATATTGGATCAGCTTTTGATTTTCACAAGAAATAATTGCCTATAAATGGTCAGAACACAATTATATAAGCTATATTCAAAGATAAACCTGTGATGGTAAATCAAGTCTTCTATCACCATTCCAAGACACTTTCCACCTATACAGGTGAAATTCAACTGGAAACGTCTAGTCATGTTGACGGAGTGAAGTGGTCACACAAACCCTCCCTCTGAGGGTCCCAGAGCAGCAGAACAGCTGTAATTGAGGGAGATAGAACATTGGAAGTAAAGAAACCACAGAATGAATGAGTCCCCAAATTTGAATGTGACCTCTACCCGAATCCTTGGCTGACTCCCAAGTTATACAGACTCTGGAAGCCCTCTAGAGGCAGGCACAATGGCAGAGAGATGAGCAGATGCACACCGTGGAGAGACAGGATTAAAGTTGGGGTGCGGGCATGGTAACAACCCACTGAACAAACAAACGATAACAACCACAAAAACAGAAACGATAAGAACCGACAGAATTAAGAACATTTACAGTGGGTTATCTACAATGTCCAGTTTTCAATAAAACGTACTAACCATGTAAAAAATCAAGAAATTTTGTTCTATACTCAGGGAAAAAATGCAGTTAATAAGAATTAACTCTGAGTAGGTCCATTTTTTGGTTTCAGCCTACAAAGACATTGAGTAGTTATTACAATATATTCAAAGAAAATAAAATTGAGAGAAACAAAGAAAATTGACCATAAATAAATAAACATATGGAACTTCAACAGAGCAATGAAAATCATATAAAAAACCAATGGAAATATTAGAGCTGAAAAATACAATTACTGAAATTTAAAAAATAATTATATATTGCTTAGATGGGCTCAACAGAAGAAAGAATCAGTGAACTTGATGATAGGATATTAAAAATCACCCATCTGAAGAATAGAAAGAAAAATTGAAGAAATTTTGAATAGTCTCAGAGTCTTCTGTGACAATATCAATAATTAAATACCAGTTCTAAACAACCCATGAGTCAAGGAAGAACTCATAAATAAAACTAAAATATATATGTATTCTAATTGAAAATAAATTACACCATATATCCATAGGGATACCTAAAATTAACACTTAATTTTTTATAACTTAAAAATGTGCATATTATTTCAGACATTTCTGCATACTTTGGAACTGGGTCCTCAGTGACATACAATTTTCATGAATATTATCCATTAAGTACAAACTCCAGCCCCCAGGCTGCTTCATTCCATGGGGACATGACATTAACCAGAGAGATGATCACGTTCAGCTTCCAAACAGCACAAACCCCGAGCCTGCTGCTCTATGTGGACTCCTTCTACAAGGAATACCTTTCAGTTATCCTTGCCAAAGATGGTGAGTCTCATTTCAGTGTTAGAAAAGTACATTGTATCATTAGAACTGTAAAGTTTTTAGTGTTTAAGTTTCTCAAACTACAAACAAGAAAAAAGTTGCATGCTCTCCAAATGTCGTTTTGTTTGTATTTGCTTTATTTTCCAGGACTATAAAAATATTGTTGCAAAGGCACCATTTCAGTAATTATATTAAGATTCTTTCTTCTGGAAAACTTTTTATACATTTGCATATCTCAGGTATACAGGAATTTTATTACCGCTGGAAGCTCTTTATTAGAAGTATAAGGTGTCTAGTTACATGTGGAAAATATTTCCTCCTCTTTCTAAGCAAAAGGCCAAAGAATTAGGTGGGTGGTAATGCAGTAAGGCCATGCAGAAATGACGGTCCACAGGTGCAGATGACCAGAGTTCTTACTCTGTCCATGGTCCTGAAGTGAATCCGCCCGTAGGCACTCGAAGACGGAAAGTACAATTACAAGAGCCAGCCAGCTCCCATGTGTCCATGGTGGGGAAATAAGGCGGGGCTTTGGGCATTGTAAGTGGCAAGTCAGGGCACTAATTCTGTATCTGGAAAAACTTGCAAAACTTTCTGGCTAACAGAGGTTTAGCACAGCCCATTATGACAGAGCATGAGGGTGCATCTTTGTGGGGCAACTCAAGCTGAGCTGGATGTGGATAAGCGGGGATCTCATGTCCTGGAAAAAGCGTATCACTATATTTCATTTCTGCATTTCCTGGTTATGGATGCAGATTTTAGAAATAAAACCTCTGGTCTGTGAATAAACAAACCAACATTCTGCCAATCATTTCAAATATGGCCCTGGGGAATTTGACATCCGAAGAATATATAGAAATGTTAAGTAGGAGTATTTAACCTTTGTTTAGATTTAGGTAGGAGTATTTTATTGACACATTTGAAGGTACCATAGGAAGTGCAGCAATTGACTCCTCAGCCAGTAAAGAAGCAAGGAGAGCTAATTCTAGTGGTGCATTTGGTTGAGTTCATTTCCAACTGATCAGCGTTTAAAATCTGACCCATCAATAATGGGAATTATCTTCCATGTTCCCTTGGACCTCCAATACCATTGGCTGCACAACAATTCCCAGGACCTATTGTACTTTATTTTTATTGTTCAACTTTCAGAATTTTGGAAATACCTTCAAAGATGACAAAACTAAAAAGAGCAGGAAATAGTTTCAGTATTTCACAAACCCTCAGCTTCAGCGTTTCTTAACATTCTTTTTGCAAAGATGAAGTGGAATTTAGATTCTAGGATGTGTTCAGTTCAGGTGTTTTCCTTTAGAGAATTGAGGATCGTAGGAAAGAGAGGTCTTATTAATGACAGCTCTGGTCTTGACTGTGAAATGGCATGATTAGAGTGGGAGATGGGTCCAGGTGTGACACTAAAAAAGCGTGATTGTTCCAGGGAACGTGATGATTAAGAAGAAAACGGTGCCTCCTAATGAACTGCGTCGAGTAGATTCAAACGGCTAAGTGCTGTTCCTGGAAACAAGTCAATAATAATAACTCTCTGGAGTACAGAAAGGCAGTTTTAAAACCATTCTGTTGTTTAAAAAATGTTATTTTTTCTACTTTAGGGAGTTTGCAGATTAGGTACAAGTTAGATCTACATCAAGATCCCGATGTTTTTAACTTTAATTTCAAGAACATGGCTGATGGGTATCTTCACCACGTGAAGATTAGCAGAGAGGAAGGCGTGGTCTTTGTCGAGGTAACAGTGTATTCAAACAATAAAGTCATAATTCCCCAGCATGTGTCACCTAAAGCAATATTTTGATAATGAAGAATAATACAACAAGTTCCTTTTGTCTATGCTATTCTTTCATGTGCTGTGCACAAGAAATCTATTTGGTCTGGTATTTTTCTTTATTTGTTCAGTAATGGGAATCTGCCAAATACAGTGTAAAATTTTGACTACTTAAATTTTCCCTCATTTATTTTAATTTACTTACTAGGGAAATGTTGTCTATTTTATCATGGTGAATTACAGGCAGAATTATTTTTTAATGATTGTTCAATGAGAATCCACAAGAGTGCAAATGTTATGACAATTTAAAGAGATGATTTATATAAATTATGATTAAAATTTGCATAACTAACAAAATAGACTTGAGTCGTAGAGTAAGTGAAATTATGTACTGTCAATACTTTTGCAGAAAAAATATTGGCATATTTGCTCTCTACAGGGAATAGCATACTTTGGCTTCACTCTTCAGGTTTTATTTTGAAATAGGTAAAAGCTTTGGGCTTGAACAGCCTTTTACATCTTTTGTGTGGGTTCTAATGATTCGAGATCATCCCTATTGTGTCAGGAAGTAATAAGAACTATGCAGAAAAATCTGGGAGAGTTCGGGAGGGGATGTGGGTGAAGGGTATCTGAGACACTGTGACGTTGGTCATGAACTAGTATTCTGTTGAAGGTATGAGCTTCTTACAATGAGCCTCTTCCATCATGGGCAGCAGTAGGTTCTTTTTCTTGTGATCATTGTTGTCTCATTGCCTCCCTGTGCTTCCTGCCCTGTTACTGACAAATGACACACGTGTTGCTGTTTGCTTCTCATGGGGCAGGTGGACCAGAAAGCCCGGAGACAAGTGAGTCTGTCCTCGGGCACGGAATTCAACGCTGTCAAATCCCTTGTGCTGGGCAAGATTTTAGGCAAGTAGACGCAGAGCCCCCCACCCCTTACCCCTACCTTGCATCACAATGTCATGCCACTAACACAAAAACAAGTTATTTGTTTTATTTTCATTACACCATTTGTGCCAATCAAGGCAGAAGGCACACTGTGGTCTGAGTGTGCCCATAATCATGAGAAACACACTGCTCACAGGATGAGCAAGTGCACTCCACTAGAGAGTGCCACTCCCTCTCCCTTCTTCAGCATCGGCACCAGCGATTTTCCTACCTCAGAGAACAACAGTGACCAAAACAGACACAAGACTCACAGAGCACAGGTTAAACAGCTGCAGATCCAGAATCCTCACCAGGATGACGTTTGGAAGGGGGCCTGGAAAGACCACGTGTCTGTTGTCCATCACTCAGGACAGCACCCTGGGTGGGGGCACCTTCCTGCTTTGCTGCCGTGTACAAGACGGTTCTGTGCCCGGCCACCACATCTGCAAATCAAACTACACGGTTCAATCTGTTCACACCCATGAGTCACCACCGGTCACAGCGTGAACATAAATGCAGATCCCAGGCATCCTAGGATCAAATATGCATGCGTTTATTTCTCCTTGTCTCCAAGTATTAAAGTAAAAGCAGGTAAATCTTAGAAGGGCTTGCTTTTTAGTTATAAATAAACTATAAACTCCATGGATTTTCACATGTAACTTTGGGGAGAAGGCTCTTGAAGTTTGTTGCATATTATTGCTCTTGTTTTGGTACTAATGGGATGTACTTTATCCAAGGTAATGATTTTTTAATCTTTTCATTTATTGTACCTATGAGTTCTTACTCATATATAAGCTCAAAATCCAAAGCATGTGCGTGTAGACACATGAGAGGATGATAAAAATATAAACCATTGGAAGCGATGATAGCTAGGTTTTTAAATCTGCTTATGTTAATATATTTTCAAACATTATGTCGAGCATTAAAAGTATGCATGCCCGTTCTTCAGTCAACATGGAAAATGTTATGAATTGTAATGTTCTACCAGGTTGCTACACTGAATAGAAGAAAAATAATATATGAAAAGCACTACTTTTTTATTGCAAGTTTAATTGAAAATTCAAAGTGAATCATATAATGTATATATATATATGTAATTTCTTTCAGTTAAACTTGCAATATATAAGAAAGCAAATTATATATATATATATATATAATTTACTTTCAGGATAAATATGCAAGTAATAACAAAGTTGATTTAAAATGGCGATTCTGCTTTAGAAAAATGATTTAATGTTTGATTAAAACTCCGACGATTTTGTAACAGATAACAGATGGCACGTTAAGCCCTGTTGCGTGATTGTGAGTTTTACCTCTAGTCCACACGTGGAGAAACAATGACTCGGCGCTCCCACAAGAAAACAGCAGCAGCAACAAGGACAAAGCAGCTGTTTTGAATTCAAACCCGCAGTTCAGCATCAGCGAACGGCGACCCCTCGTGTCAGAGCCTCTGCCGCTGGAGGAGAAACCCTCTGGGGCAGACTCAGCTGCCCCATCTTGTCCTCCATTAAGCTCTGCCCTTGGTCCCAACTGGGAGTCAGTGTTTCTGTCTGAGCACAGTGTATAGTTGGGGATCTCAGAGATGTCCAAGTTCTGCAACCTGTGGCAAGGCTGCATGTCTCTTGAATCCATGCATTCCGAGGACGGAGGGATGGACACACTGTTTTTCCAGTGAGCTGGCCAATTATTCATTGAGAGAACACATATTGATTACGTGCCTCTTTTCAATAAATTACACCAGGTCCTATAGCAGATGTGGTACAAAAATACACAAATTCTGTCCCCAAAGACTCCACAGTCTCAGCTCAAAGATGAAACATGCACATAAATAGTTTAACAAAGTCAAAAAGCATTAATCATTATTTAAAAACTTTGACATGAAAATATTTTTAAAAATACAACATGTTCAAATGAGATGTCAACGTTATTGATGAGAAGGCACTGTGCGGGAATGTGCAGTGTATTGTGTAACAAACTGACATAGTGGGCTGCATCATACGAAGTGTAATGAATGAATAAAAATGCAATCATAAAGGGCCAGCCCGGTGGCATAGTGGTTAAGTTTGCATGCTCCACTTTGGCGGCCCAGAGTTCTAGGGTTAAGATCCTGGGCATGGACCGATGCACTGTTCATCAAGCCATGCCATGGCAGGCGTGCCACATATAAAATAGAGGAATATGGGCACAGATGTTAGCTCAGGGCCAATCTTCCTCACCAAAAAAAAAAAAAAGAAAAAAAATGCAATCATAAAATTAATTAATATACATAATTCCCTTCAATTAAGTGAGTAAAGAGCATTAGGATGGAATTGAATGTATTGATGTATCTATTGAAGAACTGTATATTCATTTGTTTATTACTCAGACTCTAGAAGAAGGCTGAAATTCAAGTTGAGCAGTACATTTTATAGCTGAAGCAATTGGGATTCATGAAATTTTAGATGAAAATTCATTTACCACATGCATGGGGCATGGATTTTGACCAAGGTCTAATGACACTTCCACGTTGTGACAGTTTTAAGATTCGTCTTGCCATAAGCCTAATAAAACTTCCAAACCATTTTGTAACCCCAGGAAAACTGCAACTTCATGCTCCGGGTTAGAGCAGTGCATGAAATCCCTTGTCACCCATGCGTCCAAGGTCTGCTCAGAAGGGAGTTCCTTGTCCCCAGAGGTGCAGTCAACACTGAGGTTAGCAGCCAGCTTTTCTCCCTGGAAGTCCAGTGGTTCATGTTTCATCCTTCAGCCAACACTGTGTGAGCATCACCAGGTGGATTTTAGAGGCAGAGTCTCCCCATCCAGGAGAGCACAGCCTCCCTCCTGGAGCCCTCATGCAGGGGGTGTGGCCAGGGGTGACCCGAGTCATCAGAGTGTAAGCTTAGGGGCTTCAGACAGAACTGTCCAGAGTCCTCACTGATTCAGATAGGTGTTTAAATGTTACCACTCTGAGGGGTCTCCCTTGATGATGCCTGTTATGGTTATGTTTTCTCAGATTCCATACAATCATTTCAGAGTAAGATACTTTCAAATGTAAATTCTTGAGAAATCAGATTTTCTAGCTTTGACTATGATCAAGAGTATGTTCCTGAAATATGTGAGCTTTTAAAGCACTCTCCCTTAATCAGAGAGTTGCAGCTTCTTGTTAAGTTTGGTGATGCTGAGGAATTCTACATAACCAGGACTCTGTCAATTCTGAATTTTATGTGCTACCAAACAAATAGAGGAGCAAAAAGTAAATTCTAACAAATAAACAAATGACAACTCTTCTGAAGTGAGGGGGATATTCCTGGGGTTAGAGTTGAAGCAACAAGAAAGAAACCATGGTCTACAAAGGTCACAGCACAGAATGGTCATGCTCTAGCCCGCGGACGCTCCAGGTAAGCAGAGGGGCCTCCATCAGAGGGTGTGTGGCAGGGTGCCAGGGCTCCAGCTGTGAGGGGCTCAGAGTCCAGCACCTGACTCCGCCCTCTCAGGTGTCTGTGGGAAGACGTCCCGCAGCCTGGATCCCTATTGCTGGACACAACTCTTATCAGTGCCCATTTAGCTCATTTAGAAGAAACGCCATAGAGAGGAGAGATACAGGAATGTGGAGCATTTCCGGATGGATCTGAAACTGTGTGCTGTGGACAGGAGGGATCAAAGATGTCAGCGTACCCGTTAACATCTCCCGGTGTTTTTCGGGCTCCTCATCCTAACAGGGAGTGCTGGGCAGGAACTCTGGGTCAGCCACACGGACCGCTACCTGCTGGTTGTGGGGCTATCGGCCAGTTCCCTACCTGCTCTGTACTCACTCACCTAAACTGAGATAATGGTGGGAACCACACCTCACAGGGTGGTGATGAGAAGAAAATGAACACTCAGAACAGTAATATGTATTAGCTAAATTTTCACAATATAAGTAAAAATAGGCTAGATTATTTCTAAGATTCCCCTCAAATATAAAATTCTTAGGTCCTACAATATAAGCAATTAGCCATTAAAAGCCACTTGAGATAACAGATATCTTGAGGTCTTCAAAATTATACGTCAGAGACTGTCTGCTGACTATCCCTGGAGTTTTATGGCTCTAAGTTAAAGATAATCCATTGTCTCCATTTCATTCTATGCCCATTAGGACATTTGTATTCCTTGAACCTTTTAAGTATCACATATGTAGAGAAAAGTGCAACATTCTTAATGCACAGCTGGAAGAATTCTGATAAGGAGAACACAGTTAAACCAAGAAGAGAACACAACCCCAGAACACGACCAGGTCCCCCCGCCAATGACAGCCCTCTCTCAAATTCCCAGCAGCACAGACACGGCAGGCTGTTTCCAAACTTCACACGGGAGGATCCTACAGTACGTGCTCTTCAGCGTCTTTCTTTCTTTCCACTGTCAATACTTGTGAGATGAACGAGTCACTTTTTGGGTGAGCTTTGATTATTTTATTGAGGAGAAACACAGGAAACCCAGCAAAGTCTCCCACACGCTCTGCCTTTGCTGTCCATCTGCCCCAGAAGTGCCCTAGTGCACAGAGGCGATGCTCTTCATGCAAGTGTCAATATCCTGGCACCTGATTTTTCTCTTAGCACTTTCGTTAAAAGATTTATTCTTCAAAAGAGCAGAAGCTGTTCCTTTCATGGAACACACAATCCACACTAATTGATAAATAGACAAAACTACCTAAAAATCTAAACGAGTAGAGAGTTTTTATAACGAGATTTCAGAAATTTGATTTTATTCTCAAGAGTTAGAAACAGTAGAAAGATTTTTTTCTTAAGAGAGAAAGATTCAAAAATAGTAATGTTTTCACTTGAAATAACCTAACCAGTTCTACTGAAAGTCAAGAAACAGATGAAACGTGTCCTTAGCCCCATGGTCATTCCACCACTCCACTCTTCCAGGCGATCACCCCAAACCCCTCTCGCATCCCATCCCTGTGCACCTTCCCCATTTCATCCCGTCATGAGCCTGATCTCTCAAGAGAGCAAAAGACATTGAAGGACAGACACCGATGAAGCTGCGAGCACTAGCACGTGCAGCCCTCCTCCACGTTTCTCCAAGTACGTATGTCTTACAAAACATGTACAGATATACAGATGTGCAAATACGTATCCATTAATGACGAAAAGAGGTTTAAGCTAAAGAAAGCATTAGTGGTGCAACTCCAGGCATCAACAGGGAAGACACCCATTTTGGCCTCTTTCCAGCACAATCATTAGGTCAGCCTGGCCAGCAAGCAGGTGGGGACGGGGCGAGTCAGCTCCTGTGGGCATCTCCCCCTGGACTGGAGGGAACCTAGCGGAGCACGGAGAAGCCACTGGGGCAGAACTTGCCCCCTGGGGTCACTGGAGAAGGCCTGTCTGTGGATCCTGGGCCCCCGTGGTGCACACGTTCTGTCTCCAAGGATCTGGGCACAATCTAAGAGTCGGGCAGAGGGGTCTGAGGATATCCCTCAGTGACACTGCAGCCAGAGGGGACATGTGCTAGAGTAGCGGCCACATTCCAGGAAAAACAACCCCACACCCAAGGGACTCATAGTGAGAGGGAGGAGAATATCCACCACAGTCCCTACAAAACAAAGCTGTCAGAGGGACAGGCGAAAGAACATGAGATTTGAGGAAAGTAGTAGAAGAACTTGTAGGAACTGCAGCTGAAGAGTCAGCAGATGTACCAAAGGAGAAGAGTCCTGGCTGACGCTGGATTAGAGTGCCCGAAAATGTATGAAACCACATTGAAAACCTGAGAGCACAACGTGCATGTGGAGGAGGATCCAGGCGGAGGAAGGCCAGCTGGAACCACAGGAGGGCAGAGAACTGCCAAGCAGCGGCAGAGCATTTCCTAAGCTGAAGCAAACCCCAGTGTACTGGCCCCAGGCGTCCCTGAGGTCCGCATGGCCCAGTCAGGTCGGATAAAATGTATGACCTGCAATCATAGAGAAAGCCAGACATGCTTCCGGGTGCAAACAAGTTACAAAGACCAGAGCATTAGGCTGGCGCCACTCTCCCCTGCAGCATTGGAGCAGGATGCTCTGAGGGGACCAAGAAGTTTCCCTTCAGACCCTCAGAAGGAACTGCTCTGATCCGTCAACACAAATGAAAGCCCAGAGCAGAGAAGATGAGGAGAGGGCGCAGCGTGAGTGGGGGGACCTATCGTCCCTTTAGGGACAAACACACCCTTACACCCGCAGTTCATCTAAATGTATAATGATAACCTGCTTGGAAACACGAACTATACACACTAAATAAAGATGCTGAAGTGTTCTTTGCGCCCCACTAATGCTCCCTACTAACCACACCCCACTAACCGCGCCCCACTAAGGCGCCCCACTACTATGCCCACTACCACACCCCACTAACCGCGCCCCACTAAGGCGCCCCACTACTATGCCCACTACCACACCCCACTAACCGCGCCCCACTAGGCGCCCCACTACTACGCCCACTACCACACCCCACTAACCGCGCCCCACTAGGCGCCCCACTACTACGCCCACTACCACACCCCACTAACCGCGTCCCACTAAGGTGCCCCACTAACAGCGCTCTCCCTCCCGCAGAGCCCAGCGGCCACGTGGACGCGGAGACGGCGCGGGCGGGCGCGCGGGGCTTCTCCGGCTGCCTCTCCGCGGTGCAGTTCGAGCGCGTGGCCCCGCTGAAGGCTGCGCTGCGCCCTGGGCGCCCTGGGCTCGCGTCCGTGCAGGGGCTGGTGGCGGCGTCGGACTGTGGAGCCAGCCCCGGGGACGGCGCCACGCGGGAGCGCACGCATGTGCGGGCAGGTGGGCGCGGCGCGGGCCGGTAGGCGCCTACCTCGAGGGCCCCATGACATGGAGACCCAGGTGTCTGGCGGGCCTAGATTCTGACAGTGGCTCCCGAAATCTCAACCTTCAGCTCCCTTGGCCAATTATTTTCAGTATTCTTACTACAAGCTGACGATTCGAAAGTCAAAACAACATAAACTAATTTTATGGGAAAATTCTTCTCTGATTTATCATTGTGGATTTCTCACCGCTCCTCACTCTCCTTTCTCCCCCTGTAGGACATTCCGGAACGGTGGATGAGGGGAAGCCCATAGCTGACGCGACCAGGGGAGACTCCGCAGTGATTGGAGGTGACTAGAGGGGGTCCTGCCGATAACTGGGCGTGCGGGCGGGTGGAGATGGAGACAGATGATCTAACAAGGCCCGTCCGCCGTGACCGACGGCCCAAAGACGTGGTCCCCAGAGCTGCCGCCCCGCCCCCACTGTTTCAGCTGCCCAGACTGTTCAGAAGATCTCAGTGTCTTCAGACAGTAAGTGAAGATGAAGTTAGTCTTGACCATCACCAGTCTTGCCATGAAACCAACCCAGAATTAAAGAGACAAACTTCCTGTGTGGCTCCTACAATCCTGGAGGTGTCCTCTGGCCCGACTGCCCTGGCCAGTAGGGAGGTGACCGTCAATTTATATGCAAAGCCAGCTTCTTGCTTTATTGCAAACTAGAACAGATCTCGATATTGGGGTTGGATAAAATACCTCTCTCTCTGTCTCTAAAGCGAAGATTTCTAGTGAGACATTGAAATAATTATAATCTCTCTATTGTGTTTTCCAAGATGAGACAAAATATATATCAGCCGATGAACACTGACTGAGGTGCAGGCTGTTCCCTCTTCCTGCTAGATGCAGCAGCACGTCCTCATTGCCTTCTTGCAGCTGCGGGTAGAGTCAGCCTGTCCAAACACTGTTTTATGGGCTCAGCTTGCTGCAGGCTCTGCCCAGCCCAGCATGTGCCCACAGCACATGTTCTGAATTAGACCAGTCAAAGCTCGGCGTCTGTGGGCCTCCAACTGCCTGCACAGGGACGGCGAGCTCTGTTTCCGTGGCTGTCTCAGTGGTACCTGTGTTTTCTGATGTTCAGTAATGGAAAGATACATCAACGCCTGTGTTAACGACCATTAAATGTATGTAACTGGTAAATGACGTTTTACACTTGTTTATTAATCCTGCAACTTCCATTTGACATTTGATTTCCACCGGTGAGATAGCTTGAGCAAACATTTTCCTATGATAGAGCTCAGTGTTTTTCAGACTCGGACCTGCATAAGTATCACTGAAAAGCTTTATGAATCATCGATTTCTCCCACCTGGAGATTTTGATGAAATTTGTCTAAGGTTCACCAAGGTTGAGAACCACAGGCGTTGGTTTTAATCATCAAAACATTTTCAAGGGGAGACCTCCAATTGCTTGGATTCCATAAATTTCCACATTTGATATATTTCTACAATAAATTTACTGACAGAGACCATTCACATTTTGCTATAGATCACTACACCATACCCAAGTTATTTAAAAACAATTTCATTAAAATGTGTACAATTTATTTTCCTTAACAAAAGTACTGAAAACTTTGGGAAGGTACGATGCATTCCATACTTTTGAATTAATCTGAGCCTGTCTGCTTCCCCACATGGGCAGTGTTTGTGGTCTGAGACATACGTCTGTTTACTTCAGGAGGCATTAAATGAATCCTATTGTAATTTGATTGTAAAGGCACAAAATGGAGCAGTCCGTACGAGGCTGGTAGAACTCAAATGTTATGATACAACCTGACCTAGAAACCCCTGAAACTTCGATGCCCCGGTTTATAACAGAATATGGGCTTGGCCAAGGCAGAAAATGATCTTATTTGGGCTGAGAGCAGTGAAGCCAACCTGGCGGGCACTTGGACACAGTGTTACGGTTTATGTTCTGACGCTGCGTTCCCTCCCCTCCCTCACCAGGTGTCATAGCCGTAGCAGTGTTTGTCCTGCTGTGCGTTGCTGCCATAGCCATCCGCCTTTACCAGCAGAAGACCTTGTACACAATCAAGGAGGGGAAACCACCAGAGAACGAAGGCCGTGCAGTGGCCGGGCTCAGGTGTGAGCTCAGCCTGCAGAGTGCGGTCTGTGGGAACCAGAAGGAGTACTTCTTCTGAGTGGGAGCCAGGATGGACACATCCTCACTGCAGGCTGACTTTCTCCTACGCCCGGGGCTCCCGATGGTCAGAAATCCCCTTTGCAAATGCAACAGGTTGTGACACAATCGTGCTGGGCAAATCCTGCCTCATGGAGTGTCCAATGGCATTATCCCTTAGCTGTCGTTTGAGTCACTGCATTTTATGTCACCATGAATTTGATATGGTCATAATCCATGTTAGTTCTGATGCTCTAATGTGCTTTTAAACTGAATTTTAACTTGCTTAGCCGCTGCGGTTTTCAAAGGGAAACTTGCTCTGAGCCATCTGTCTCTGGCGGACCTGAGGCTGCATTTCATGATCACAGAACTGAACGTCCTTCTCAACCACCTCTGTTGAATCTTCGTGTCTTCTGTGAGCCATAGCCACGTGGCCAAAAATAAACAGCCTTTCTTGCCTTTCGCTTTGCTCATTGATGCCATGCCCCACTCATCTGTCGGGGTTTCATTGCTGGTTTGTTTGCATTGCCTTGATTTAATTTTTCCTGCAGATGCTCACGGTGACTTTGGATACTTCCAACACTAGGTGCCCATTTTCGGCAGTGGAGGTAACGGCGCTCAGATGGTGCAGAGCGAACTGTACATGTTTTACTTTTTTCCTTCATCTTATGTCATCAAGGTCTGTGATTGTCTTTTGGCAGTGTCCCAACTAATGTTGATTTCACAAAGGTTTTTTTTTTTTTGATTAAAATTGAAGAGCAGATAGAACCACAAATTCTCAATACTGAAAACGTATTTTTTTTGCATCTGCAATACCTGAATGATACGTAATAGTAAATTTATTTCCCTAAACTCTTGGTGATTTGTCAGTTTTCTTTGTCATGGTAAATTCTTCTGTTTCTTTGCCGTTTGTTGGCTTGGATTTCCCCTAAAGGTCTCCCCAACTTTTCTTTGCTCTCCTGAGACTGTATTCCATGGAGCATCTTTCTCACATATTAGAGAGCAAGTTACTCTGCGAATCACATTTCCTTTTCTAAAGTTTGAACTGTTTCCGGCACAAACTCCCACGTGCTTGGCCAACTGGTCACAAAAATCCTACACATGTTGACTATGAGATACAGCCACGCCCCAACCTGAACAGCCAGAACAACCCTGAAATCCGTTGTTCTTGTCTCAACTCCAGGATGTGGAGGTTCATGTCTCAGAGCTCCCAAAACCAGTGGGACCTTCTTGGGGAGCAGACCAGGAGAGCAACAGGGGACAGATGATTCCAAGGAAACTGTCTGGTCATTAATTTTGGAGCCCCAATAAAACCATCACAGGAAGCCTGCAGTTGGGTCCCATAGAACTAATTAACAGAAGATGCGCTCCATGCACCCACTCACCCCAGGCCCGCGTGTAGGGCTCCTGGAGCGTGTCCACATCGGGAAGGAGAAGAAATGCCTGACCTCCATGTTGCTGTTTCCTGTCGATTTCACCTACTTTTCTGTGTCTTTTTCCACATTACCTTTGTCTTAATTTGTCTGTTAAAAATTGCTATCCTTTCTTATATGCTAGCACTTGTTGATTTTTTTTTCCTATAAATCTAAGGTTCTCAACTAATACAGTCACTTTAGAAGGACAAATCTTAGTGAATGGTGCACACATAGCCCCATCTGTAACATCGAGAGAGAGATGGTAAGTTGGACAATGCAGAGCTGGGTGCAGACGTGGTGACCTCCTGGCAGTGTTTACAAGTGAGGGGGACTCATGGGTGCCCGATGTCTCAAGAGGACATACAGGGGGCCACATGCCACCACTGCTCATCTTCTGCACGAAAGCCCATCGATGCATCACGTGCCCTCACTGTCCTGTCGATTTGTAAAGTTTACCTTCTTGTTTGTTAATAAAACAAGACTTTTAAAATGAAGTGAGGAATATATTTTAAGGTAATTTATATAACACTTTACAGTTATGAAATTAGAGTTTTTCAAAGAGTGAAACAGTGTAGCTGTGTGCACTCTGTACTGGTGTGTATTTCTTCGCACATCATGGACTGTCCTGGGATTGTTATTGTTTGCAAATTGATGCTGCAGTTACCATGTTATTTTTTTAATTTTAAATGGCTCAAATAGAAAGTGAGAGGAAAATGATAACTGTTTACTGATGGCTACAGTAAAAGTAATCTGTGATTGTAAGGACTAATGGTAGTCTAACTATCAGTCAACCATCGGTGGTGCCCTCAACACTGGATGTGTTGTCTGTCATGTGCGTCTCCTCCCTAGAGCTTGGTGGGGCTGCCCTGAAATCCTGGAGTGCTGGCAGGAAGAATTTAGTGCACCCATAAGAGTTAAAAGGCAAGAATACTCAACTGTTTCTCTTTTCAAATTGAAACGAACCATGTAAGCAGCGTATAATCAGCCTCTTCATTTGGGAAGCCTGAGCTCTTCTTTCCTCAGCCACTCCCTCTCCGGTAGGAATCAGAACATTGCACGTCACAGCTGTCTTGCCTCTAATGTTGCCACTTGACTCCCAGAAGCAGTGTCACGAGACTGCTGGGACACCCCCCCCCCCAGGGCTCGGCTCCAGCGCTGGGTCCTCGCCCCTGCCTCATGCAAGATACAAAAATGGCTTGATGGGGAAATAAGATCCTTTGAATGTCTTTCACAGGGGTGCGTGGTCCTTCCTAGGACACAGAGCCACAGAGTAGAAGAGGTTATGGACTTGGGAAGAGTTTAGATTTTGTTTTTAGTAATCTGACTTGTCAATTTACCAATGAGGAAACCACAGGCTTGTGAATGGATTTCCCCCGGTGCTGGCGCTCACGAATGGAAAGGCTTGACTGAGTCACCAGCCCACCCTCTCCATCACCACGTGGCCAGTGCACATGCTTCCGTGCTGTTAGTCCCAGAATATTATTTGAAGAGAAGAAAAACCTGAAGGATCTCATCTTGTTTTTCTAAATCAACCTATAATTATACATCTGCTTCCACATCTTTTCTTATTGAACATCAACTTTCTGTGATGGATTGTTGATGGGTCACTGACATATATATATCAGATTATTCTGAAATCTAAATATCAGTTAGGTTTGATTGCACAACCAGGTCATCAAATTATATTCAAAATGGGGAAAGATGGAATGGATTTGCCGTAAATCAAAGCATGCTGTTGGATGCTGGGTTTTTTGATCCATGGGCCAACACATGTCCCCAAACATTTAGATGCCTCCTGGCTTCTTGCTTTCTCATTGGATGATGGAGCGTGTAAGCAAGAAACAAGTGCAGAGTCTGTCCTTCCGTCGGTGTGTTGGAGACATGCATGTGAGCAATTGTGCACACGTGTGTGAGTAATATGTGAGCACGTGTATGAGTAATAAGGAAAGAGTGAAGGACGGAAGAGGGGGTTTGAAGTGACTAAGCTACTGGAGCCCACGGGCATTTCAAATTCTGGGTCATTAAGGGCACAGTTCACTTTGCACATAATTGACTGTCTTAGCTGAATAAAAATAGTATTAGTGATAGAATCTTAGCTTATAAACCACACATGAAAATGATAGATTCTTAGCCTACAAAACCACAAGCGTCCACTGGGTCTTAAGACATGGGGTTTGGCAGAATGACAGCCAGGTTCCTGGGACCCTGGGACCCTGGGTCCCTGCATCTTGTCTGGAATGTGGAGGTCCCTAAGAGGAGAGTCCCATGAGCTTCTTGTCATGAGCACTGTGGGAGCCAGCTCAGGACAGGGGAACTGGACTGTCCTTGTCCTGAATAAAGGGTTTTCTTCATCCAACATCTCCTGGGAGGCACTTTACCCAACTCCGCTTGTCACCAACGAGGCGCCTCGAGAAACTCAAAGGTGGGTTTGGAAACAATTAACTGTTTTTCCAAGTTGTTTCTTTTCCTTTTTTGTGTTAAGGAGATGTAAACATCAACCACCCTGAAACTGACCAAGCCTCTCCACCCATGACCTTTGCCTTATTTTTAATACAAAGATCTCTCCAGGAGGAGCTTAGGCCTCATGTGGAAGCATGTTCTCCAGCTGAGCCTGTGCAAGCAAATACCCGCCTCTCCCTTTTGACACATTCCCCAACCAAATAAAAGTTCCTGCTTCCCTTTGTTCGGGGACGCCATGACTTTGGAAATGATTCCTCCTGGTCTCCTATTTGTTGCAAATACACTTTACTTTGTAGGACAACTTCCACTGGTGTAGAGTCTTATTTAACTCACCAGGAGGCAAGCCTACTTGGTTTGGTAACATACTTTACTGAACAAATACCAAACATCTTCTCCATTTCTTTTTGTTTCTGTAGGGTGCTCTCTGTGTTGAGTCCCACCCCCTGTCTTGCTGTCAGGGCGACCAGAGGCCTCTGATTCTGGAAAACTCAGGGACAGGGGCCCCATTTGTCTTGTTTCCTGTTTGCATCTCCAGACGCCTAGTGGGGAAGCGAACCCTCTGACCCCCATCTGAAGCATCCCCTCAGCATCTCTCACAGGCACTTGTCTCATTTCTATTTTATTTGATCTTATTTTTTTTATCTTTGTGAGTTTTTTTAAACCAAATTGCTGTCAATATAGTGGGCTTTTAAAGATGAATGGAAGTTAAAATCCAAGCTTTTCGTTTTTCTTTTTTTTTGTTTGGTGAGGAAGCTTGGCCCTGACCTAACATCTGTTGCCAATCTTCCTCTTTTTTGCTGAGGAAGATTGGCCCTGGGCTAACATCCGTGCCCATCTTCCTCTAGTTTTTTGTATGTGGGATGCCACCACAGCATATCTTGATGAGTGGTACATCTGTCCACGCCCAGGATTCAAACCTGCAAACCCCGGGCAGCCAAAGTGGAGCATGTGAACTTAACCACTACACCACTGGGCCGGCCCCTAAGTTTTTCCATGTTTAACTCAAAGTCCCCTACCTGACATTTTCTGATTTTTAAAAAATGTATGCTTCCTCACATGAAATCTTGTGATGCTGTATGCCTCTGTATTCTAGGGGAGTTAAAAGCAGAATGTGCAGCCCATGTCTTCACGTAAGCTGCAGCACTTTCTATAATGACAGGGATTCATGCAGAGAACACAGTGGTGCCTGAGCTTCTCCATGGGGTCTCCAAGGAAGGACTGGTGAGAAGTGAGCAGTGGTGGCTGCCTCCTCCCCATTCTTTGCTCCTAGAGGAGATGGAGAGCAATCTGAGGGGGCGTGCTCCATGCTAGCAGGCAGCATCAATATTGTTTTCTATAAATTAGGAGAATAACCATTATTCTGAACAGACACTGAATTATTACTACTCATTACACCAAGCTCATCACATTA